ATTTAAAAAATAAAATAAAATAAAGAATATGGTTAGAGGACAGCCCGGGTGGCTCAGCGGTTTAGCACCGCCTTCAGCCCAGGGCGTGATCCTGGAGACCTGGGATCGAGTCCCACATCGGGCTCCATGCATGGAGCCTGCTTCTCCCTTTGCCTGCGTCTCTGCCTGTGTGTGTGTGTGTGTGTGTGTGTGTGTGTGTGTGTGTCTCATGAATAAATAAGTAAAATATTAAAAATAATAATATGGTTAGGGTTTTGTTTTGTTTTGTTTTCCTAATGAAAATACCACTTAGGGCAGCCCCGGTGGCGCAGCGGTTTAGCGCCGCCTGCAGCCCAGGGCGTGATCCTGGAGACCTTGGATCGAGTCCCACATCGGGCTCCCTGCATGGAGCCTGCTTCTTCCTCTGCCTGTGTCTCTGCCTCTCTCTCTCCCTCTCTGTGTCTCTATGAATAAATAAATAAAATCTTAAAAAAAAAGAAAAGTACCACTTAAAATTCAAAAAACGCAAGCAGCTGACTGGATAACATAATTTGAATTGCTTTCCTTGCCATACAGATAACCATACACCTGTCATAATACTGACATTTCCATCCTTGAAGCCACTCCTCTGGTTATGGCAAATATCTGCCAAACTGGAATCACATCTGCCATAGGTATTTGGAACGGGAATTCTATGTAGAATTCTATGTATGTCTGAGATACACTCAGATACACTGAGTTAAACTTTTTTTGATAGTCTTTTGTTAGGTACTTCATGTGAATTTGTTCCCTCGAGAAATATAGTATACAGAACTCCCATGCTTGTTTTACCACATAATTATTTTCTTCCCTTATCATTAAAGTACTAGTGTTTTGGGGTGCCTGGCTGGCTAAGTTGGTAGAACATGTGCCTCTTGAGCCCAGGTTGTGAGTTCAAGGCCAACGTTGGGTTTGGATTGCTTAAAAAGTAAAAAAAATAAATAAATAAAAAATAAAATCTGTTTTGTGGAACATACTTTCAGAAATTTTAAGTTAATGTACTGTCTCCAGAAGACCTCTGTTAACATGAAAATCATACAAGGCAGGAGAAACATATTGACCTATTAGTGAAAACTAATTTTATTATACTTCTTAAAATACATTTTTTTGTGTTGCATTTTTCTCTAACATTGCATATACTGTTTTCAAATTAAAAACAATTTGAAATCATGAATGGGTCTTGTTATTCTAGATGAATAATTATTCAATAACGTCTGCCCAATCTGAGCAAAGTGGACTTGGAAGTACAAGTTTTAATGTAGGGTGGCTCAGTTTTAATGTAGGTAACGCCTGGGTGGCTCAGTGGTTGAGGTCTACCTTTGGTTCAGGGCCTGATCCCAGAGTCCTGGGATCAAGTCCCACATGGGGCTTCCTGACTGGAGCCTGCTTCTTCCTCTGGCTGTCTTTGCCTTCTCTCTGTGTCTCTCATGAATAAATAAAATTTAAAAGAAAAACAAAACAAAACAAAACAAAAAAAACAGGGCAGCCCGGGTGGCTCAGTGGTTTAGCACCGCCTTTGGCCGGGGCCTGATCCTGGAGACCTGGAATCGAGTCCCACGTCGGGCTCCCTGCATGGAGCCTGCTCCTCTCTGCCTGCGTCCCTGCCTCTTGCTCTGTGTCTTTCATGAATAAATAAAATATATTTTTTTAAAAAGTCTTAATGTAGGACTATAATAAGATCTTTAATAAGATCTTATTTTGTGGAAGGTACTAATTTTTGTGTCAAATGCCAACTTTTCATATCTGTTGTTGTTCATTCCTTTTTAAAAGTTGATCAAGCTAAGATAAATGAGAATAAAAGAAACAACCTAAGAGATATTGAAGTGTATAATGCCATTTTTTTCCAATATGGTTACATTGCTCAAACTAAAATCTGTATACCTAATTAAATCACAACATGTCAGGTCCCTGGATATTCCTGTTAAATTGTTTTATGTTTTATAATTATTTTAATAGACTGAACGATTTACTGAACTTTATTTGGAATGCTTGTGTTTATTGTAAGTGATACTGGTCCAGGTTTTGCTTTCTAGGGGCTATCCTCATTTAATTATATTGTTGAGATATGAGATTATTTGCCTTATAGAATGATGTAGTAGAATTTTGTTAGAGGATATCCTTTTTTTTTTAAGATTTAATTTATTTATTCATGAGAGACACAGGGAAGCAGAGACATGAGGAACTCAAACCCAGGACCCCGGGATCATGACCTGACCCAAAAGGCAGACGCTCAACCACTGAGCCACCAGGTGCCCTGAGGCTATCTATTCTTTAAACCTTTTTATTTCCTGTAAAACTACTGATATTATTTTTAAATAAATTAATAAAAAATGAATTAAAAAAAAGAAAAAAACAACTGCCTGTTATACAAAAGGCACTCTGGATGGGGACAGAGTGGTATATAAGACAAACACTAGTTCCTCAATCCAAGTTTCCTAATTGCATTAAGGTTATTAATTTCTTAACAAGTAGACCTTTGGTGATTTCCCACAAATTTTTCTTTTTTTTAAGATTTTATTTATTTATTCATGAGAGACACACAGAGAGAGAGGCAGAGACAGGGGCAGAGAGAGAAGCAGGCTCCATGCAGGGAGCCCGATATGGGATTTGATCCTGGGTCTCCAGGATCAGGACCTGAGGCAAAGGCAGATGCTTAATTAATGAGCCACCCAGGGGTCCCTCCCACAAAATTTCATTTGTAGGCATCAAATTATCATCACCGAGTGGTCTAAATTTTCAGATTTCATTTTTTTAAAGATTTTAAAAGTTTATTCATGAGAGAGGCAGAGACATAGGCAAGAGGAAGAAGCAGGCTACCTGTGGGGAGCCAATGCAGGATTCAATCCCAGGACCCTGGAGCATGCCCTGAGCTGAAGGCAGCAGATGCCCAACCACTGAACCACTCATATGTCCCTAGATTTAATTTTCTATTTAAGAAAAGCTTACTATAGAAATTTTCAAATATGTGCACGAATAGTAGGGATAGCACAGTAAACCCTATGTACTTTTTTTTTTTTTAGAGAAAATTTGTATTTATTTATTTATTTATTTATTTATTTATTTATTTATTTATTTTAAATTTGTGTTTAATGGTAAAGCTTAATACACTCCAGCACCAGGCATGGCCTGAAGTCGAAGCAGCAGGAACGGGTAGGTGACCCTCACGGAGCTTCACATGGTGAAGAGGATGAGGAAGGCAACCATCAAACAGAAGAGCCCAAAGGCCTCAGACAGGGCAAAGTTCAGAATGGCATAGGAGAAGAGCTGCTGCTCGAGAGACGGGTTCCTGGCATAGCCAATGATCAAGCTGCTAAACACTGTCCCCAATACCAGCCCCTGAACCAGCTACACCAACTGTGGCAGCCCAAGTGCCAATAAACTTGGCTGCTGTGTCAATGTCCCAGAAGACAACACTGGTCTGGAACTCCTGTCGGGCCACATGGAGTGGGGAGCTGCTTTAGGATAGCTGTTTAGGTGGGATCTCTGGCCTACTCAAGAAGGAGGCAAAGGCCTGATTAGATCCCTGGTACAGCAGAGGATCAGAGCCGGAGGAATGAGTAATGCCCCGGTGGTCTGCATTTTCTCAGTCTGCACTCCCACAGCCCTGCGGCCCCTAATCCGACCACAGCATTTGCCTGGCTCAAAGTGTCAAACCCTATGTACTTAGCATACCCCCACACCCATGCCATCATCATGCCTAAAAAAATGAACAATTGCTTAATATATTCCACACTGTTTTCACAACGATCTAAAAATTTTTTTTTCAGCTATCCAAATCAGAATGGTATTGACTATATCTTCTTATTTTCTGTAAGCTTATGCTCTGGCATTTGGGGACTTGATTCTGGACAGGCTATCCTTCTCAGGGGTAGCAAATTCCTAGAAATAGCCAACAACCTTTTTTTTCCCTTTCTTGCTTTTTTTTTTTTAGAGAGAGGAGAGGGTTGAGGAGCAGTGGGGAGGTGTAAGGGGAGAGGCAGACAGAGAATCTTAAGTATGCTACATACCCAGCGCAGAGCCAGACACAGGGTTGGATCTCACAATCCTGAGATCATGACCTGAGCTGAAATTAAGAGCCAGATGTTTAACCAATTGAGCCACTGAGGTGCCCCAAACAACTCTTCTGATACCATGCCTTTGATTTACAAACCAGCTAACCAAAGCCCCAACTGTTTCCTTTATCAAACTCTCACAAACCAAGCCAATATTCCTCCTGTCCAAATCACCCCAGGGCCAAGTACCAAAAAACTAGGGATCACCTCAATAACTCAGCCTGCCATAATTGTTAAAACTATCCAATCCCAAACTTTCTCAGTGTACTTATCCAGTGTCACCCATTCCTTGGAGGGGAGAACCTTCAGTAAAGGCTCTGTGCTATACTCTGCCCTCTCCCAACTTCTGCCTCCTAACAGAACTGGGTACTTTCCCAAGCGGCTCTGCAGGCATGCTGTGCCTAATTTTTGAGATCTTTCAGTATAAACTTCTTCCTTCATGACAATCATTTCCATGTCTGCATGTCCTACCATACTTGATTAGAACAAATCCTGGGTACATTTTAACACAGGGATCCCAACACACTCCACACACAGCATTTAGATCTCTTAAGTCTCTTTTATGTATTTCTTTAGTGTAAAACTTGGTAATGCAATTTACTTTTTTTAAATTTAACTTCAACTAATTAACATATAGTGTATTAGTTTCAGAGGTAGAGTTCAGTGATTCATCAGTCTTATATAATACCCAGTGCTCATTATATCACATGCCCTCCCTAATGTCCATCACTGTTACCCCATCCCCATGCTCTTGTCGCCTCCAGCAACCCTGTTTGTTTCCTATGATTAAGTCTTTTATGGTTTGTCACCCACTCTGATTTTATCTTGTTTTATTTTTCCCTCTCTTCTCTTGTGATCCTGTTTTTTAAATTCCATATGAGATCATATAATTGTCTTAAGTCTCTTTTAATTTGCAACATTGTTTTTTATTTTGTCTTAATATATATTAAGAAACAAGACATTTATTCTGTGAAATTTTGCACATTGTTTGCTTCCTTGTATCATTAATCATTCTTTTATTTTCCAAGTTTCCTGTAACCTGGTAATTAGATTTAGAGACTAATTTAAAAGTCTAGATCAACATTTGGGGCAAGAACACTTAATAAATGTGATTTAGCCATTGCATAACACCAAGATGCAAATAGCCTGGCTGACTAATTGAGACGTGAATGTATGTTAGTGGTTTCTGTCACTCCGTCCCATTAAAAGCTTCCTATGAATCTTTTTCACCTAATGATCTTTGTATTCATCAATATCACCACCAAGATTATTTCATAAATTAAAAAGTGATTTTTCAAAATTGTTATTCCTTTGACATTTATTAACCAGGCTTCTCTAATAATAAAGAACTTTTCTTCAACTTTTGGTTGTCTTAAAATACAGGTAATAAAGGAAGGACAAAATAAATGCTCCACTTTTCCCCTTTGTTTACCAGTAAGAGCCCTAGTATGCTTCATACCTGACCACTGCATTTGGTCAAGAAAAAAAGGAAGCTATCAAAGGCTATAGTAGTGGTCATGACAAAAAGACACAAGAACCAATCTGAGGGGATTCTCACTGGCCAAAGATAGGATTATCTGTGCATAAAAAAAGCTAGAATGTATTTTAAAGAATCAATGCAGGAATTATAAGACAAGTGATTTTTAATTTCCAAATAGTTTTTTACATTACTTAATTTTAAATTAAATTTACTATTTTTAAAAAAGATTTTATTTAATTTATTCATGAGAGACAGAGGCAGAGACATAGAGAGAGAGAGAAGGCTCCATGCAGGGAGCCTGATGTGGGACTCAATCCTGGGACCCCAGATCACGCCCTGGACCAAAGGCAGATGCTCAACTGCTGAGCTACAGAGACGTCCCAATTTTAAATTAAATTTAGACTGGGGCTAGAGAATGTAGACTGTAGAATACCTGTTTTTCAATGAACAAATTGAAAAAGAATTTACTTCCACTATTTTAAAAAGAGTAAGTTACCTAAAGTTCAATAAGGATGAATGTTGGTGGAAGGCATTTCTATATTCATTGGACTCATAGTCTTACATAGGAGTTTTCAAAGGAGTAATATTAATGATAATAATAAAACAAAATTTAGTGGCTTAAAACAACAATTGTTTTGTTATACATGATCATATGGGTCAGGAATTTGGGCAGGGGCTCAGTTGGTAGATTCATCTGTTTTATATGGCATCAACTCAAGTCATTCAATGGCATTCAGCTGCTGGCTAGTCTGGAGGATTCAACACTACTTCATTCAAATGTCTGGTGTCTTGGTAGGCATGTGTGGAAGTCTGGGCTCAGAAGGGTGCGCTTCCTTTCTTTGTAATCTTAGGGCTTCTCCAAGAGGTCTCCCCAGCACAGCAGCCAGACTTTTTAACATAATTCAGGGCCTAAGCTTAAGAGAGCATCCCAAGAGATGAAGTAAAATCTACCAGTAAAGCCTGGGTCCTGAAACTGGCACAGCAATACTTCTACTAATCAAAGTGGTCACAGTCTGCTCAGTCTCAAGGGGAAGGGATGCAGATTCCAGCTCTTGATGGTGGGGGAGAAATGTCAAAGAATTTACAGCAATCTTTATTCTGCCACAGTATTATATTACCATTTTACAAATGAAAAAATTATAGCACATAGCAGTAAAGCATCTTGTCAACATAATACAAGTGGGAAAGTGACAGGACAGAGATGATAAGTGTCTCCCACATTTTTTACATTGATAGGATTAGTTTTTAGAATAAATGTGAAGTTTATCAGGTTTAAGTGATGGTGGAATACATTAACATTCTTTTAATGATATAAAACCTTTCATGTCAGTTGCTTATATAAAGGAAGCAATGGGGATTAATTACTATATTCATAGACTGTTCTACAACACAGGATTGAAAAATTATATTTTTACATTATGAATTTTCAGATGATGGGTAAGGTGTGAATGTTGCCTAAAGGCTTTCTTACATTCCTTACATTCATAGGGTTTCTCACCAGAATGAATCCTCAGATGTTGAATAAGGGATGAATTAAGTCTAAAAGCCTTCCTACATTCTTTACATTCAAAAGGTTTTTCACCAGTATGAATACTCTGATGTAGAGTAAGTTTTTGGCGCAATCTAAAGGCCTTCCCACATTCCTTACATTTATAGGGTTTCTCACCAATATGAATACTCTGATGTTGTGTAAGTTGGGAGAGTAATCTAAAAGCCTTCCCACATTCCTTGCAGTCATAGGGTTTAACTCCAATATGAATACTTTGGTGTGAAATTAGTTGTGAGTAACGACTAAAGGCCTTCCAACATTCCTTACATTCGTAAGGTTTCTCACCAGTATGAATTCTGTGATGAAGAATAAGATGATAACCACGACTAAAGGTCTTTCCACATTCCTTACATTCATAGGGTTTCTCTCCAGTATGAATTCTCTGGTGGAGTGTTAATTGTTGTCTCACTCTAAAGGCTTTCCCACATTCCTTACATTCATAGGGCTTCTCACCAGTATGAAGTTTGTGATGTACTCTAAGGCCAGAGCCACACAAAAAGGCCTTCCCACATTCTTTACATTCATAGAGCTTGTCGGCAATATTAAGCTTCTGATGTCGAGTAAGGTGTGCATACTGTCTAAAGGCCTTTCCACATTCTGTACATACATAGGGTTTCTCACCAGTATGAATTCTCTGATGAAGAGTAAGTTGTCCGCGTACTCTGAAGGCCTTCCCACATTCTTTACATTCATAGGGCTTCTCACCAATATGAATTTTCTGATGTACTCTGAGATCTGGGCCACATATGAAAGATTCTCCACATTCCTTACATTCATAGAGTTTTTCACCGGAATGAAGTCTCTGATGTCGAGTAAGGTGTGCAGTCTGTCTAAAGGCCATTCCGCATTCCTTACATTCATAGGGTTTTTCACCAGTATGAATTCTATGATGAAAAGTAAGCTGTTGGCGTACTCTAAAGGATTTCCCACATTCTTTACATTCATAGGGTTTCTCCACAAAATGAATTCTCTGATGTGGAGTCGGAGAGGTGCGTGTTTGGTAAGAAGACACTTTTTGAGATGCAATTTCCATTTGACTGAAATATCCCTCCTGCCCTTCAAATTTTCTTTTGGACTCCCAATCACTTTTTAAAATTAGGCCCTTAAGGCCATGGTTTTTAATCCTTTCCATTATCTTCCATTGGGGTAAGTTTATTTCATAAACGTCATGCTCTGAAGATAACTTCTTGGTCTCATATCTGTTCTCTAAATCTGAAAGAAAATAAGAGAGCAAACACATGGTTTCCTTTTTTAAAAAGAAGTGAAATTTCTACAGTAGAAATAAAAGACAACTAAAGTAATGCTCAATGAAATTTTAAAAATATAGTTATACAACTTGAAAAAAAATGCATAAGGTAACACCAGGAAAAATGAAAACTGATGTTAAGAAAGTGAGACTGGTGGGCAGCCCGGGTGGCTCAGTGGTTTAGCGCCTGCATTCAGTACAGGGCATGATCCTGGAGATCCAGGATCAAGTCCCACGTCGGGCTCCCTCTATGGAGCCTGCTTCTCCCTCTGCCTGTGTCTCTGCCCCTCTCTATCTCTCTGTGTCTCTCATGAAAAAATAAATAAAATATTTAAAAAGAAAAAAGTGAGACTGGTGATTAATAAACATATAAAATCAGTGGATCTCAAATTGAGATGTGAAGTAGAATCATAGGGATAAATATTGATGATTATTAAATCATTAATACGATTATTAAAATCATATTATAAATATGATGATTATTTTTTTAAGGTTTATTTATTTGAGAGAACACACCCATGCATATGCAGCAGGGGTAGGTAGAGGGAGAGAGAGATTCCCAAGAAGACTCCCCACTGAGCACAGAGCCTGACCCAGGGCTCAATCCCACAACCTTGAGATCATGACCTGAGCTGAAACCAAGAGTTGGACACTCAACTGAATGAGCCATGCATGTGCCCCTAAATATTGAGGTTTAGATGCCACCTAAAACACCTGGATCAGGGATGCCTGGGTGGCTCAAGAGTTGAGGTCTGCCTTCAGCTCGGGCATGATCCAGAGTCCCAGGATTGAGTCCCATGTCCCACGGGGCACCTGCTTTTCCCTCTGCCTGTGTCTCTGCCTCGGTTTCTCATGAATGAATAAATAAAATCTTTAAAATAAATAAATAAATAAATAAATAAATAAATAAATAAATAAATAAATAAATAAAACACCTGGATCAGATTCTATAGTCCTGGCCAGTCCTATATTTAATGTTCTTCACACAACTCTGATGGAATGGAAAGGTTAAGAAATCATACTTAACTTTTTTCAACAATTTCTCTTTATTCTTAAACTAAAATAAAACTTGCTGTGGTTAAAAGGCCTCAACTTACCTATAACACATCATCTCAGTCTGCTCTATCTCCCAGAAATCTTCTCCTTGGGTTTTTTGCACTGGGGCTACTTCTTATCCTGAGGTCTTAGGTCAAAAGTCACTTCCTTTAAGGCTGATTCTACTGTCAGTATATAAATCTCTGTTCTTATACATGTATTATATATCAACATCTGTGCTGAAATTACGTATTTATAATTTTTTCCAATTGTTGCTCCTTTTCTTACTCCTAAACCTTTTTTTTTTTTTTAAGATTTATTTATTCATGAGAAACCCAGAGAGAGAGGGGCAGAGACATAAGCAGAGGGAGAAGCAGGCTCCATGCACGAAGCCCGATGTGGGACTTGATCCTGGGACTCCAGGATCACAAGCTGAGCCAAAGGCAGATGCTCAACAAGCTGAACCATGCAGGCATCCAACTCCTAAATCTCTTCAATGGGAGAAGCAATCTCTATTTTACTCTCTATTAAAAAATACATCCATAGCACTTAATAGGTTTCACTGATTCCCATGGTTAATACTTATTTGGAATATATTTCTCTAATCTCTCCCATCTTACAACAATGATTAAATATTCCCTTTATTCTTCCAAGCTAGTCCATCTAAATATAGAAATGGAAAATGGTGATTGTATGCTCTTATATATATCCTTTCATTGCTTAAACCCCTTATCTATCATCACATAGCCATGAGTTACCTTTTGTCTCAATGTCACAATAAAAGTACTAAAGAGTTCTATTCATTAATCCCTCTGTCTAAGCTCATTCTATTACTCATCCATTTTATAAATGCTCAACTGGTTTTGTTCTCTCATCCCCTTGCTCAGGTCTCCTTTCCATTCCTTTAGAGCAATTCTTGTATTTCCAGAAATATGTGCCAGTGATTTTCCACACAGGAAAACATGTTTATACTTTACTGATTTTTTAATGAAATCCTTAGCAACAAAAAAAGAGAAAAAAGACAGATATGCAAGGAATTCACTAATAAGGACAAAGGATCTTGCCGTCACTTGAGTGTGAAGAATTGCTAACAAAGCTCATGTTAGATTTCGAGAGAAGATGGTAAACCAGAAGGAGAAATAGCCAGAGAAATATTTAAGTGCTAAATGAGTTATGTATGAGAGAAAAAGGAGGATGTTATGAATTAAATTATATGGTCTGCATAAAAAAGGTTAAAATCACACAGACATTTTCTACTAAAGCTAGACATAATAAAATTTAAAATCCAAAAGTAAATCCACTTGAAATTTTAGAAGTCTACATTAAATAACTTATAATGGAATCCCTGGGTGGCTCAGCGGTTCAGCGCGTGCCTCTAGCCCAGGGCGTGATTCTGGAGTCCCTGTATCGAGTCCCACGTCAGGCTCCCTGCATGGAGCTTGCTTCTCCCTCTGCCTGTCTCTGCCTCTCTCTCTCTCTCTGTGTGTCTCATGAATAAATAAATAAAATCTTTACATAAATAAATAACTTTTAGATCAATAGGGAAATAAACTACAAAACAGGATTTCTGTTTTTTAGAAAACAATGATAATTTTAGGGCAGCCCCGGTGGCGCAGTGGTTTAGTGCTGCCTGCAGCCTGGGGTGTGATCCTGGAGACCCGGGATCGAGTCCTACATCGGGCTCCCTGCATGGAGCCTGCTTCTCCCTCCACCTGTGTCTCTGCCTCTCTCTTCGCTCTCTCTGAATGAATGAATAAATAAATCTTTAAAAAAAAAACAATGATAATTTTAAAATCCAAATTAATATCTACAGAATATAATCAAAGTGCTTAGAAAAAAATTTAAAAACTTATTTACAAAAATAAATAAAAAAATAAAATAAAAACTTATTTACAGCTATAAACATGAGAAAAAATTAATTAAAAATAAATCAGAAAAAGAATAAAGTAAACTGAAACAAAGCAGAAGAAATTAATCTTATATTGATTAATAAGATTAATCAGTTAGTCAGAAAACAGAAAAAAAAGAACTAATACATAAAAGAAAACCATTTGGGGCACCTGGGTAGCTCAGTAGCTGAGCACCTGCCTTTGGTTGAGGTCATGATCCCAGGGTCCTGGGACCAGGTCCCACATCAGGCTCCCTAGAGGGAGCCTGCTTCTCCCCCTGCCTATGCCTCTGCCTTTTTCTGTGTCTCCCATGAATAAATAAATAAAATCTTCAAAAATGCCCACAAAACATTCTTTTAAAAAACAAAGTAGCAAAACAGATAAAGTGTTAGTTAATATAAACAGCAGGCAAGCACACAAATAAGAAATAGCAAAGTGAGGGGTGCCTGGGTGGCTCAGTTGGTTAAAGAGATGCTTAACTGATCATAATAACAGGGTCCTGGGAACCAGCCCTGGCTCAGGCTCCCTGCTGAGCAGTGAGCCTGCTTATTCCTCTGCCCCCACCCATGTCTACATGCAGGTGCATGCTTTCTCTCTCTCAAATAAATAAATTCTTTGGAAAAAAAAGAAGACATGACAAAATGAAACTAAGCATGAATACAGAGGATAACTGAAAAGGGGCAACTTTGCCGATAAATTATAAAACACAGCTAAAATGAATAATTTTCTAGGAAAAAGTAATTTACCAAAACTGACCACAGAAGAGATACAATGTTTAAACATTAATTTCCATAGAGCAAACAGAGAATGTGGTCACACCATATCCTTCTTTTAGGAAAGAAGCACTAGAGAACAGGCCATTCAAATTCAATTAGACTGAGAGCTAAGAAAAAGGAGGACTTCCAAACTATTTTCATAAAGTAATACCATAGTAAACAAAGACTATTCATAAAAAGAAAACCATATACCAATTTTCTGAAAACTGATATAAAAATTCTAAACATCTAATAAAAGAGCACATCGAAAGACCCAGTACTGCTTATTCAAAGAATGTTAGAATGGTCCATTATGGGGAAATCTATTAAAATAAATTCATACTTTTAAAATTTTATTTATTTGAGAGAGAGAGAGAGTGCGTGAGCAGGGAGGGAGCAGAGAGAGAGGGAGAGAAGGAGACTCAACAGGGGGAGCCCAATGCAGGGCTTGATCTCAAGACTCTGAGACCATGACCTGAGCCAAAATCAAGAGTTGGATGCTTAACTAACTGAGCCACCCAGGTACCCCCAAATAAATCAACATGTTAATAAGGCTGTGGAGAGGGGAAAAAATCACATGATCAACTCCACAGATGTTGAAAGGCAACTAAAATAAGAACCATTCCTGATTTAAAGGAATGGCAAAATAAAATAGAAATGATTACTTCTCTAAAATGATAAAATATAAATAAAATAAAATAAAATAAAATTATAAAATATATATTATTTTAACAAAAGGGGAGTTTGCGGGGATCCCTGGGTGGCTCGGCGGTTTGGTGCCTGCCTTTGGCCCAGGGCGCGATCATGGAGTCCCGGGATTGAGTCCCGCGTCGGGCTCCCGGCATGGAGCCTGCTTCTCCTTCCTCCTATATCTCTGCCTCTCTTTCTCTCTATGTCTATCATAAATAAATAAATAAATCTTAAAAAAGGGGGGGGGGAGTTTGGAAAAAAGCCAGAGGTAGAAAAATTTAGAAGGAGGTAAACTTGTATTTCCAGATGGTGATTGCATAACTGGAAAACTTAAGAGGTTTAAATAATTTAAATGATAACAACTTAAGTAGGGTAGTAGGATATAAAAATCAAAATACAAAAGGTAGTAATTTTCATATATTCATTTAACAATAAAATATAATGGAGAAAAGAAGATCCCAGTCATGATAGTAATGAAGAAAACTCTGAAATACTCATGAAGTATTTGACATTAGATTTTTTTTTTTAAAGATTTTTATTTATTTATTCATGAGAGAGAGAGGCAGAGACACAGGGAGAGGGAGAAGCAGGTTCCAT